GCTCGGCCATCGTTCAACATTTTTGCCACGTGGCACTTTGTTGGAGGAGCTCATCACTGGCGGACAGGCTCGTGAATAATGGTCGAGTGTGGAAAGGAAGAATTGTGGTGAGTTATGCACTCAATCTCGGGCATGCAAGTGGACGATGGTTCGATGTGTTTTCGAATGTAGTATAAGAAATGCCACGTAGCATGCCGTGTGAGCAGTGCGAGGGGTGCTTGTTTTTCAAATTGTTTTTCTAAATGTCTTCGCATCGCGAGGGTGCTGAAGCCCATGTTGTCTTTCTATACTGGGCCGATAGAGCGCTCGTGTCATCATGATTTCAAACTGTTATAGGGGTTCGTTCACTGTTTACGGATTTCCATACAAGAAGAAAGATCACGCACGCCTTAAGTCTACGCGCCTGCACACCCTCTATTTCTAATTAGCCATTCAAGTTCAGTCAGCGTAGACAACAGACACAACCGTGACTTCGCGGTGTACTCGACTGTTGCACTTCAGGGACATCAAGAGGGCATGGCCCACATGGCAATTGGGATGACTGGGCAGATGGGCCGAAGTTTGTCCACATGGCAATCATCGGGGTGTGGAGGGCGCCAACGGTCCAAAGGCGTGGCATATTGAAGTGCGAAAAGTGATTGGGGGACGGTCCATTTTTGGGGTGAGGTGATCCGCTCGACCATCGTTCAACATTTTTGCCACGTGGCACTTTGTTGGAGGAGCTCATCACTGGCGAGCAGGCTCGTGAATAGTGGTCGAGTGTGGAAAGGAAGAATTGTGGTGAGTTATGCGCTCAATCGCGGGCATGCAAGTGGACGATTGTTCGATGTGTTTTTGAATGTAGTACAAGAAATGCCAAGTGGCATCCCGTGTGAGCAGTGCGAGGGGTGCTTGTTTTTCAAATTGTTTTTTCTAAATGTCTTCGCATCGCGAGGGTGCTGAAGCCCATGTTCTGTTTCTATACTGGGCCGACAGAGCACTCGTGTCATCAAGATTGCTTTCGTTTGATCGAAACTGTTACAAGGGTTCGTTCACTGTTTTCGGATTTCCATAATTTGAGCTTCTTTGTTTTCGAGGCTTTTGTGTGTTACGTCCCCGTCTGCCAGTGTTCTCGCTGCGACTTCATGGTTGTGACACACACACACACACACATACACACACACATACACACTGTCACACACACACACACACACTGTGCGTGTGTCATCGCCATCTTCAATTCTGTTTTCTGAACACACTATGAAGTCTTCACGACAACAGAAATATAAAAAAAACAAAGCAAAAAAAAGGGGGGAGAGAGAGAGAGAGAGAGAGAGAGAGA